TTAAGGCAGAAAAAAGAAGGAAAATAACAAACCATCAGTTCAGGGGTTTGAGAAAATATGGGAATCAGGAATTTTTCTATATACCAAACTGAACGATTGTTGTTCTCTACTTAAAAACATACTTTAGATTTAAAAATGCTTTAACTTGACTACCTCAACAAGCGTTTATCCCTTTAGTCATGTACAAAAGAACTATTTAATTACTTATTTTTGGTGTTTTTTAAAGCGTATGGCAATCATATCTTAAATTGTTTTGTTTTTTTATGACTTAAGGGATACACGTCCATTGAGGTAGTTTAAAGTCTATTTTTCATACAAAACAAAAGGTATGCGTACGTGTTGCGCATGCGTATTTAATATAGGTATGATGGTCTGACAGGGTATGGTCATCTGACAGAACACCGTATAGCATGGTGACAGCATAACTTTAGAGATTGAGCTAACAGATTCTGGAGAGTGGGAGAATAGAGATAGAATGATGAAATAGGGGTCCCTATGTCCTCCAGCAGTCTAAGCCTATAGCAGCAGAACTATAGAGATAGCTCAGGATCTCCACCTGATGACGCCTGTTTCTATCTCCTGCTGGCAGGTAGAATACCAGTGCAGAGGTTTTCTTGAGAAGAACAGAGATGCTCTTTATGAAGAACTGGTGGACACAATGAGAGCCAGTAAGGTGAACTAATTTATAATAATTTATATTTAACTTAATTCATAATATCCATAAAAAAGAAACATAAATCCTGTTTCTGTAATAGAAGCTACGCACAGCAACTGTTTGTTTTCCCCCTAATCTTATGAGATTTTTTTTTGTTTGCGCCTGTTATCAGTTTCCTTTTCTAGCAAACTTTTTCCAAGAGGAGGAGCAGAGTTCAGCAAACAGTAAAGGCGTCCGAGTCAAAGCAGCCAGGCCACCTGTGAAACCAGCCAATAAGCAGCTCAGGACCTCAGTGGGAAATAAGGTCTCTTTGTTTCTGTTTTTAACTCTAGAATGAACCAAGTTAGTATTTCATGCACCTTTATCCTAAACTTTGTGGCTGGATGCAGTTCTGCAGCTCCCTGTCTTTACTGATGGAGACGCTGAACGCCACCACACCTCACTACGTGCGCTGCATTAAGCCCAATGATGAGAAACTCCCATTTGAGTACGTTCTTCCGAAACTCTGTTTGAACATTTTTCTCTCTGCCCACCAAAGAATTTCCACAGGATGAACTTGTTTCTGTGTTTTTTTTAGATATGACTCAGGGCGAGTGGTGCAGCAGCTGCGGGCCTGTGGAGTACTGGAAACTATTCGGATCAGTGCACAGAGCTACCCATCCAGGTGACTTTTGTTTGTGAAGTTTACAACACATCTGTGTCTCTATGCTCTCATTGCTGACTCGGATGTTTTTTTGTTTTTGTTGTTTGTTTTCAGATGGACATACATTGAGTTTTACAGCCGATACAGCATCCTGATGTCCCATTTGGAGGCAGACCTCACTGACAAAAAGGAAACGTGTAAAAATGTCCTGCAGAGATTGATTCAGGTTCGCTATGATTGTTATGAAGCATCTCTAAGTTAGAAAGCTCTTTGGTGTCATGATTTTATTCTAAGATCTGACCCACATGCGGAAGACCAAACGGAGAGACCAGGGGAAGGTTTAACAGGTTTATTGAGAACTGGTAGAGATGGGTCCAGTGCTGCTCTGAACACTGGCGAACCGGGACTGAAAAGTGAAGGGGAAGTTCCTGTGGTTAGTTCAGGCTTTGTGGGAAATTTGAACTTCGATTTGCAAAAGGCAATAGAGGCAACAGGACTCACGTTTCCAGTAAAGGTGTCTTTCTCTGAATCCTGTCGGTGTGGGTTGTTCCGGTAATTGACTTGCTCGTTGGAGGGCGGACAGGGTTTACCCAGGTTGAGGTGTTTTCCTTGATGCTACTTAGATTTCCAATGGTACTTGAACTGATTCTTGTGGAGATGAATCCCCTGCTCAGTGTGAAGCT